ACCAAATGTCTCTTCTGTAAATACGGTATTCATCAGTTATGTTAGCTTGTTTATCTATATAATTCTCTTGTATTTATTTCAGTAGAAATCAATTATTCACTTGGGAAGAATTCCTTTGGTGACACCTTGAGTCTATTAAGCACAGATTTCCTAAAGGCAAACACCTGTAAAACCCATCTGTAGTGCAAGGCTAAGTCCAGAATTTTGCCTTAGAAAGATTTGCTTGCCTTTTATTCTTGATTGGTTTGTTTTGATTTTTATAAATATAACAGTATTTTACAATTAGGCATAATTTTTTTTACCTTATTCATGTTCACTCACATAAGCTCTTGAACATTTTTAATTAATTGTCCCAGTTTTTCTCTACTTTTGTTTAGGTCTTAGTGTTTATCTTCCAAATTTATGTAGATTTTTATATTAATAGATTAATTTGATATTTTATATAAATAGATTAATTTGATGTTTGTTTCAAATATTGTTTTCTGGTGGTTTGGCTTTATAGTTCTAATAGAGGCAGGTGCATGGAAATCTTTGAACTCTGGGGGGTCCCTCAGCTTGATTGGCCTACATCCTCTCATAGATTGGGACCCCTCAGGGGATGTCTGACTGCCGGCTTAAGCCTAGTTGTGGGGAGTGGGCCTAAGCTGGTAGTCAGACATCTTTAGTGCTGCCACCGAGCTGGGAGAGGCTCCACCACCACCACTATGCTCATAGGGTTTGACTGAGCAGCACCTCCCGCCCCCTGTGTTAGCTCACTGAGCTCCTGTGTTGAGCATCTGCCCCTGGAGATCAGTGCACATCATAATAACTGGCCATTTGGCCATTTGGTTGATTTGCATATTACCCATTCATTATATAAGATTATTTGTGCTAATATATAAAAATACAATTTAGTAGGAGTATAAATCTGTGATATTGCATCTTCTGTAATTTGCTTTTAAAAGTAAAAATATTTCAGAAAAAGCAGTGGGGGTCCTAGCCAGTTTGGCTCAGTAAATAGAGCACCAGACTGCAGACCAAAGGGTCCTGCATACCATTCTGGTCAAGGGCACATACCTCGGTTGCAGGCTCCCCCCCTGGCCCAGGTCCTGGTCTGAGCACTTGAAGGAGGCAATCAATCTATGTATTTCTCTCATCTCTCTCTTTCTCTCTCTCTCCTCTCCCACTCTCTTTAAAAATCAATGGAAAAATAACCTCAGGTGAGGTTTAAAATAAATTTTTAAAAATTTAATTAGAAAAGCAGTGGGGTGTACATAAGTAGAAAATTTAACTATAATCTACACATTTTGAGTTATTAGATTATATTCAAAGGATGTTACCTGAAATTCACATGAAAGAAATAGCTAAGAAAAGCACTTAAGATGTTACTACCTAAATGTATATTAGCAGGTTGGAGTAGCTTGTGGGTTCTATCTCTCATGCGAGGTTTGCAGGAGGCAACTGATCAACGATTCTCTCATTGTTGATATTTCTGTCTGCTCTCCCTCTCCCTTCCTCTCTAAGATCAATTTTAAATTTTTTTAAATAAAAAAATGGACAGAGACTATACAAGATGGGTTATCTGAAATACCATGAATAGTTGATCATTTCCGAATAATGGTTATTCATGTTTGATAGGTAAGGTTTAACTCGTCCAAAACTGAGCTCTTTCCTTTGGCCTCTCAGACAAAAAGTTGCAGTCCACAGAGCTCCATGCTCACTCATTCAGCACTGTGATTGAAGTCTCTGTCCCGTCAAATGACTATTGCAGAGGACTGGCTCTTCTGAAATCTTCTAGCTCAGAAGCCTCAGTCATGAGAATAAGACTCACCTCCCAGAGACTGACAGCCTGCCCTTTCTACCTTGCCAGACCATGTGTGGCCCTGGAATAAATGAGCAATTAGTGAACTTTCCCCAGTGAGTGCTGCACGAACGGTGGGTGCATGGTGAGAGGTAGGGGAGGCTCCTTAACCATAGCTCAGATTGGCATAGCACTATTATTTTTCTTTAGATAGTTCGCATTTGTTATTTTATCTACAGTCTAAAGCTTTCCTTGGGATTTATACTCCTCCCATTTATTTTTCTTTGCCTTTCCATCTTTAAATATTTAATGTTACTGTCTTTCAACTTGTGAGTTTCTAAAGGGAGCTTTAAGAATAAATGTGACCAAAAAAAGCAAGAACATACATGAAACTAAGTTATCATTAAGTTCTATTAATACATAGATATTTTATTAGTTCCATTTTAGGGTTGCATTATAGTTGTTTTACCCTGATGTGGCCACATTAATTCAAAACCAACATCCAACAGCACCTGAATTTTACCAGGACTACAAAAATAGAATGCATTCAGCATAAATATGCTGAGGTATTTAATAAATCATCCCACACGTCCATGTTTGAGTCTAAGTTGTTTTATAGAAAATCACCAGATCACCTGTTTATATACAATAAGTCATTCCTATATCTGTTATTCCATGGCTAGACTTTCATAGTACAGATCCACTTCAATTCTTTTATTCTCCAGGGAAACATAAATTCAGTATTGCTCAAAAAGTTACTAAAAGACCAAAGATAGATAATTTACCTGAATATTACAAAAAAATAATGTATAAACACATAGTATGTATAAATTATTCTTATACACACTAATTTTGAAAAATCACTCTTAAGGCCTTCAATGGAAATGCATTTACATTAGATGTCCTTTTAAATAAATTATTTCTGGCATGCATGTAAATCATTAAATTAAGGGGTACACTCATTCAGATTTTTTCTTTGCCTTTCTATTTTTTTTATTGCTCCACTTTTCTTTAGGTGGCATATATAAAGAACTTGGAAGCTGTATCCCAAGTGGCAACCATCTAATATCTTGGCCTGCTTTGATGATGGCACGGGGTTTGTCACATGAATGTGTTGCTATTGGACTATCCGTCACCCTTCAAGTCTTCTCTAACACCAGTTTCCATGCACAGCCCTTGATTAAAATAATCTCAGGGTTTTAACTCTAATATCGGAGAATTAACTTGTAACTATTTTAACACTCAAGGATTTGTTTGAATGTCAGGGATGGGGGTTTGAGGTGTCTGTGTCTGAATCAGCTGATAGTAGAGACCAATCATAAAGATGCAACAGACACAAAACAGCTCCCCTACTCTCCATTCTGATCCTACATGTCATTAAGAAGACATAATCAAGGAAGGAATTTAACAGAAAAAAAAAGAGAGTGGCATGAGAGTGTTTTAATCATATATATATATATATATATATATATATATATATAGAAAGATCTATTTATTCTAATTTTCCTGCCTCCTTCCCCTCTCCAAATTAGACAAAGGTTGGCATGATTCAGTTATCTTGTGAAATAAAGTTCCAACACATAATTCTCAATTGTAGTTAATAATAATTCTGAATTTAATATGTGCCCTCAATTCTTAAATAAAAATGAAGGCTTCCAGAGCTGAGAATATTAATGCTTAGAAGGATTTTATAATCAATCATGAATTTCTCACTAGCCAATAAATAATGTTGTGTGGGCATGTAAGTCAATATCAATTGTTCCTTAGAGCAATCTAAAAATATGCACTCCTTTAATTATATACAGTATATGTTATAATATGCAAATGATTGTGTTGCTTAGACTAACCTATTCACCTGTGCCATGTCACTCATACACTGGAACTGTTTATATCTCCCAATGTAGTACATCCAATACCAGAAAAAAGTTACTTTATTAAACTATCCAATCCTCAAAGTAACATTTTTAAAAGTGATTGACCTATCCTATTGATTATTTTTTTTTCAATAGTTCCTACACATGGATCACACATAACAACCAGCCAGTTGAAATTTTTGCAAAACTCTTGGCTTTCTGTATCAACCTAATAGCATATCAGTATTTCCCCACTATAGAGGAAACAAACTTTGGATAGATTTTCCCGTTTGTCATTGAAATCTGTTGTGATTTGGGCTATTGGGAAATCATCAAGGTAAGTAGTTGCTTGCTAAAAGATCTGTTTTATTTTGCTGAATCAGAAACATTTTAATTGTTCTATAAATAAAGCAATAATCATCAAGTATTATTTTTAAATAATAACTTTGTTAAAAGATGATACTTCTAATGTTTGATTTGTTTGGCTCCTGAAGTAGACTTCAATCTCACAATAACTACTTAAGCCAGCAATTTTCAACTGGTATGCCTCAGCACATGGTGTACCACAAGAATTTTTAAAACATGCAATACCTAACTATACAGTCAGGGGCACAGACCCCATTTCTCTTCTGTTGTCAAATAAAAACATGACAGCAGCCAACACAACAATAGCCTCCCAGTGTGAATAAATCAAAAATATACCTTTTTTTGTGTCAGATTTTTGAGTGTGCCACAGAATTTCAGTCATTTATGTGTTCCATGAGATGAAAGAGGATGAAAATGGCTGTTACATATCTCAATTTCTTTTCCCTGATGGGAATTGTTTCAACTTTTTGTGTGTGTGTGTGATAGTTATTCTGATAAATTTGCTTACAGAGAAGCCCAAGACCAGAAAAGCACATAACTGTTGCTCAGTGGAAAAAGAAGGGGAAACAATTTTCAAAAGGTCATACCTATATTTATTTTAAACGTACCCCTACATAATCTCAGTTTCCTGAGTGTAAAAAGATGAGTTTGCATTAGGTATTTACCAATGTCTCTCCATCCCTAAATTACTAGGACTCTATGACCCCACTTATAAGCCTTACTAAGCTAATTTACCACAGATGTACTTTTATCAAATATCAATGCCAATAAACATCAGCATTGAGCAACAATTAATAGGAAGCTAAATGTCTCTGATGGTGCAAACAGAGATTGCTATAAATAAATAAAAGCACAGTTTAGGTCTCATTAGATAGAACTGGATTTCTTCATCCTTTTTGTTACCTATTGCTTATAAAGTTGAAATTTTTATGTAATCAGTACTTTAGCCCCATCCTATTTTCATCCTCATTTTATTCTTCATCTTCTATCATATTCTGCAGATTCAGATGTATTCAGTTGGGATAAGCACCATTTAAGGTGAATATCATTTTTCATCGCCAAGCCTCACCTCACACCTCCCCACCCACATGCTCATATGGTCTGTGTATGGCTATACAGCATATGCCTCTTTCCCCTTGTTCTCAGCTTGATGCCTAAAGTTGGAGTTGCCATCTTGTAATGTAAAAAAAAAAAGGACCAAAACAAACAATCATGCAGAAATCTCGACATCATTGAATGGCAGAACCCAAAGTTGTCCACCATTGATATCTAGTTTTCTTGTCATGTGAGAGGAAGTCAGGGTGTTTGTTTGTGTGAGTGCTATCCTGGGCTTCCTGGTTCACCATTCAGGATTTCAGGATTTATTCTCCTAGCTTCTAGAAAAATTTTGAGCTTATGTCTCTTGAGCTGTCAAACCCTCTTCCAGAATGGCCATAAGCTAAAGAACACTTTCTCACTCAAAGATATGTCCCCTTCCTGGGGAAGCCTGTATCCAGTAACTGGTTGATGTGAGGGTCAAAGTCCTGGGTGTCTCCTTTCAACACAGAAGAACTCTGAAGAGCCATCCCATCTTGAAGCTCCTCATAAAATCAGCTGAGTCCTTATCTTATATAATAAAGAGGTAATATGCAAAATGACCCTCATGCCCTACAACCAGGCCAACGGGGGGGTTAGTGAGGGATGACCAAACAACTGAACAGCAGGCTGCATGAGGTGACCAGGCTTGTGAGGGGAAGGGAAGCAATTGGGGTGACCAGGCTGGCATAGGGGATCAGTTGGGGGCAATCAGTCCAGCAGGGGGGGGGGGGAGTAAGAGGTTACCAGACCAGAAGGGGGGACAGTTAGGGGTGATCAGGCAGGCAGGCAAGTGAGTGATTAGGAGACAGTGGCCCAGAATTATGAGAGGGATGTCCAACTGCCGGTTTAGGCCTGATCCCCTGGAATTTGAGTTGCCATCTTGCAATGTTAAAAAAAACATTGATTCCCCTGAATCAGGCCTAAACCGGCAGTCAGACATTCCCCAAGGGGTCCCTGATTAGAAAGGGTGCAGGCTGGGCTGAGGGGAACACCCCCCTTGCCATGCACAAATTTCATGCACCGGGCCTCTAGTTGAAAATAAAGCTCAACCAACTCTCCCTCTACCCAGACACCTGCTTTCTTCACATTCCCTAAGGTGATGTTTCCAAGAACACTGTCTGTGTAAACTTCTGATGCTAGTTCCTGTCTCAAGTTGATATCTAACAAAAAAAAATAAGTTACCATATTGTTTAATTCGCCATTTAGCTTTTTGTTAGACATAATTACTTGTGGCCAAATTATTTCTAATGTATATATGAGTATATGAGGTAACTGGAAGCCTGGTGAAATACCCCACAAATAGCAATCACTGGGTGAAACTGTTTTAGGCCACAATCAAAGAATTAGTGGTGTGATAGAAAACTCATGACTTTTCATGGGGGTAACTTTCAAATCTAGGCCCGGTCTCTTAAACAACAAGGCAAATCTAAGCAAAATATTTAAGCCTCTTTAAGTCTTGTTTTTCCCCCCAAGTGTTAATTGAAATAATAATACCTTTCTTATTATTTTATTTATTTATTGGTGAGTGATAAAATGCTAACACATATAAAGCATCCAGCACATATAACCATCCCTTGGTAATTTTTTGTGAGAACTCCACAAAGTAACACATGAATCATATTTCACATCAAGAGTCCACACTATATAAATAGTAGCTATTACTATTACAGTAACTTCAGAATTGCTTTCTTGCAATGACACCAGTCCAAAATTATAATTCCTAAAAGCTTATATTATATAACGATTTGGCATTTATTAACTTACTTCTTCCAATGTTATTTTAAAACACATATGTGGTCCAAGATCCTCCCTGGGATTTACAAAAATTGGCATGAGCATGGATATTTCAAAATCTGAAAAACGCAAGAGAGAATCTGAGAATGACAGGGTGCACAGTCAGACGTGTCTCTGAAGCACACTCAGAGTAGATCCAGTGAAGACCAGCCATGATGCCTTCCATGCAAGAGGATCAGGTCCTGAGACCATGTGTGTACACCTTTGTGACAATGTTGACAGACATTTGTTCTTTTTTATAAAAGTGGTTTTTTGTCAGACACTGGTTGCTCACGTCATGCATCTATAGTTTGGGGACACTTAGTAGATACTCAATACAGATTACCTGATCTTGAAACTCTAATCAATTAGTTTCTGTTCTACACTATGCTATATTCTTAACAGCTAAGAACTAATTATTCTGAGGCAGGGGGAACCAGGGGTGGTAGGAGGTGGAAGAAGGCATAGAGGGGTAAATGGTGATGGACAAAAAATAAAATGACATTGGAAAGAAGAAAGAGGAAGAGGGAGAGGAAAAAAAAAACTGCTCAGTCAAAAGATTAAAAAGTAAGTCAGCCCAGCCACAGCGGCTCAAGAGTTGTGTGTTGACCTAGGAACCAGGAGGTCATGGTTCGATTACTGGTCATGTCACATGCCCAGGTTGTGGCCTCGATCCCCAGTGGAGGAGGGGAGGGGACATGCAGGAAGCAGCCAACCAGTGATTCTCTCTCATCATTGATGTTTCAATCTCTCTTTCCATCTCCCTTCCTCTCTGAAATCAATAAAGATATTTTATAATTAAAAAAGTAAGTCAGTGTTTCAAGAGCATCTTCTCTTTGAATATGGGGGAAGAAATGTTGAAAATTCTATTATAGAAAAATTCTTGGTAAAGTGGGGTTTACTCATGGAAATGTACATGCTTCAGTTATTACACGATTTGTGTGAGCAAAGGCTTTTCCTTCTCTTAAGGAATTCATGGTCTGGTGGGAAAGGTAACGGTTAATGTGATGCGGTGAGACCCCGCAGGAAGCATAGGAGGCTTGCCACCTTTGGAATCTGGAGCAATGAGGGCAGGCTGCCAGGGGAGATTTATCAAGGCTCTATTTTTGCTGAGAGCCACAGGTCCTCAGGGAGCAACAATTACTGAGCAAGTTGCTATTGTTGTTGGGCTCCAGCTCCAGGTCTCTAGAACAGAGGTTGCAAACTGGCAACTTGCAAGCTGAACCTGGCCAACAGATATGTTGTATTTGGCTCCTATATGGTCTGTTAAAATGTTATGAATGTTTAAAACTGGGAAATTTCACATAAAAAACCAGATTTCTGGCTTCTTCTGAAAAAAAAACTGAAAGATCTAGCAACACTGACTCACATTCCTGAATGACAACAATTGGCTCCATCTATGGAATGGCACTCCAACAATAACAATGAAAAATCCACTCTTCTGTTTACCACAGTCCCCACCACTCCTTAATACTCTCCAATCCCAAACTTAAGTGTCGATTGCCATTTATCATCACACTTCTGGTAATTTTATAGTGGAGAGAAAGATTTCTCTGTAGAGGATGATGTCTTTATCAAAAGCAGGATAAAACAGAATGACAGGTCCTCATAATTTTAATTATTTTAGAGGATTTGCCTGGCCCTAAATTAATGGAATATCCTCATTCCTCTTTGGAGTTCCATAAAGAAATATCAAGATGGTGACAAAACCACCCTCCCTATGACCACATAATACTAACTTCAGGGTTGGATTTGACATGAATGAATGAATTTGATTAGAAAAAAAGTCTTAGGACCAAGCCATTTCTCACACCAAATGAATCATGGAGATTCTGAAGGAGAGTCTATGACCTCTAGAGTGTGAAAGAAATGTGTATATTTAAAAGACTTGCAGATATATTTATATATCTTTACCACCTGAGAACACCTACGCAACACATGGATGGATATGTGTTTCCAAAATGCCATCGAAGTCTTTCAAAGTGTTATCTGATTGAGATTTCAAAGGATGTCCAAGTATTTTATGCTTAACATAATTCTTTGGGAAAAGAATGCCCCCAAGCTGGTTTACAGGGTCATGACCCAGGCCCAAAATGTTACCCACACTAAAAATCTAATTCGCAGGTTCAGCCAATATCATGCACTGAGATAAAGACATCATCCTTAAAAGGAGAGACATGACTTCACAAGAGAACACTTTAAGAACAAATGTAGAAAAAGTTCAATATGAGTGAACCATGTTATGTGGCCTCCAAAGAAGTAACCTTAGTTAGCAACAGAAATATAGAATGCTAGCCTTTCCACACCATTCACTTGTCAGACCTTATTCAGTACTCATTTCTCAGGATCACGTGTGTGTGTGTGTGTGTGTGTGAACACGGGTCTGTGGTGGTATGTTTGTGTATGTTTGTATGTCTTTGTGTGTCAAAGAGGAATGGTGGAAGCAGGGATATTGAGCCAACAGTACATCATATGAAGAATTTTTAAACACAGTTGAACTAATTAAATTGGAAATTTATTTTTTAAAAATCACTCATATACTTAGTTTAAAAGAGATAATTATTTTAGAATAATTAGGTCCATTTCCTCTGTAGCTCTAAAAACAATTCTAAAAGGTTGATACCAGAAATACTTTTCTCTCAAAGCAATCTGCACTGCCCCCTTCAAAAAATAAAATGGACTATATATCAGGGAAATTCTTTGTCATTATTACCCTTTCATATTCAACTGAAGCTTTGAGAAGCATCAGACTAGATGATAGTTAAAGGCTATCACTGAAAACTGCTGATTTTATGAAAGAAAAAATGTTGGCCCCCAGCCTTTCATAAAAGTCCAGATACTTAAGAGCCGTCCTCAGTTTATAGCACAAAATCTACCTTGGTTTCATGGACGATAGTCATGGTTTGGCTGCTTAGCATCCAAACACACTTCCTACTTTTGAGATATTTACTCTCCTCACTTTCTTGCAGGCTTTGCCAATCAGATGTTCTCACCCAGACCTTTGACTCCGGAATGGGGAACACGGAACAGTTAAGAACACCATGTACAGTTATGAAAAATTCATAGCAGCCATACTGGCAGCATCGAGAGTCTGTGGTGCCAGCGAACATCTGAAAGAAGTGTCCTATCTGGATTCCTTGGAGCGCTGACCATTTCATGTGTCTGGTTCCGGAGTCCTCATGTCACTTCTGTGCACTTTGGCATTTGATTCTAAGAAATAGTTTGGCTTAACTAACGACAATATCTGCTCCTTGAGGGCAGTAAGTTGACTTAGCAAAGCAATTCAAGAGAGACTATTTTATGGAAGTCAATGCAAAGGTAATCATTAACAAGAAGGAAAATTGCAAGAGGTTGGCATTGGGGATTTATATCCACCCAGTAGTTGTCCTTAAAGAGAAGTATATATTGCAATCTATACTCTAATCAGAAGATCTGGGAATGTGGATTCCATAAGAGATTTTTATCAGAGTCACGTGGCTGCAGCTGACCACAGAATCAAGCAAGGGGACTCTAATATAGATTCACTTTCATTAGTAGGACTCTTCTGCTATCATGGCTAAAGAAATATGGAGTTTCTCTTTAATAGTATTTGGATGGGCACCATCAACTGTTTCCTCACTGATCTCTAGGTTTTAATATTTCTTGATGATGCATTTCAGTTGGTACATTTTGATGTCAAATTTTCCCCTTTGCTACTTCTCAAATAACAACAAAGCAAATGAACCAGCATTCCTTAGCCACCCATGTAGTTATTGATGTTCCATATTTTAACTTTTTTCTCTGTTTGCTACTAGTGCTGTGAGATGTAAGCTGTCTTGTGTCTTATACCAGCACTTCTAAAACTGTAAGTATTTCATATTTAGAAGTATAATTATGAATTATCAAATATTTTCATTTTTAATAACATAACTTCTTTCTAAGTGTTGGGACTTCCTTTGCTCTCCATTAGACACATCCTTTTGTTGATTATGTGCTTTATAAAAATTTTAACACATACTCGCTCTAAGACATTGTAAGAATAAATTATCAAAATGTACAGAATGCTTGGAAAGAGGAATTTAAATAGTCAGTGCTCTTACAATGAAATGATTTAACTCAACTGCTCATGATATGCCTCTTTTGCAATTAGAATAATTACTCTCTCTGACAAGTACAGTATTACCACATTTTCACTGATAACACCAAGAGGGAGGTTTATAAAATTAATTACTCCTTCTTGTAACATCTTTACTTTTTATAAACTTTAATGTAATGGGATGATTATATGTGCATTAGTTATCAGTTTATTATAATATTTGCATGAAAGAGGAAAGTATAGTACAGTGGGAAAAACACTGGTTTTTAGAATCACATGACTTGGACTTAAGTTTCAATTTTGCTACCAGCACCTTCCTTAACCTTGTGTAAGTCAGCAAACACAAACGAAATATAAATATTATTCTATTTTGTTCCCTAGTATAAGAGTGTTTGTATGTCTGAAGATCAAAGAGATAATTTGTGTTGAAAGCATTTATAAACTAAAATATTTTATAAATAATCACTGCACTTAGAAATTGGAGAGTAATGATAAGGCATTACATGCACAATCCCTCAATGTTAGTACAGTATTTTGGTTTTCTAAAAATTTCACTTCATAAAGCAAACTTTCTTTAACTATCGTGTCATCTGTCATGTTTTGCGTCATCATTCACAAATGGAATCAGAGTGGTTACTATGTAAAAACACTATAATAAATGTCAGGAATGCCAGAAGTTTCTGTCCTGAGATATCAAATTGTATTCTTAAAATAACTTGACATGTATTATGAAGATAAATAATGAAACAGCAGAGCACACGGTAAGTTATACTGAATAGTGTGTCGTCTGTGAGCAAAACAGGAATTTGGGGGAGACAAAAGTCACTGTTGATTCTGTTCCTTAGAAAAGGTGGGCATCAACTGAATGAAACTCAAGGGAACAAAGAGAACCTTCATTCTCTGTAGGGAGCATTGCCAGGAAGGGGGTTTGCTGGCTATAAGATAATATGTTTTTTAAAGGCATTACAATGTGGGAATCTGTTATGGCAGCGATAGTGAGACAGTGCTGTAACACATAACCTCAAAAGTTGTCAAGGTGGCTTTAGATTGGCCTTGAATGAATTTTGAGGAGCATATTCGAAAAGTTTAGATTGCCTTGAACATGCTGTTAGGAGAAAAGTGGATGTGAGTGGCTCTCCTAGCAAAGACGAGAAGGAAGTGAAGAGCATGGAAGAGAAAACATAGATTGCCTTAGAGCTGTGGTAGGCAAACTGCAGGTCGAGAGCCACATGCAGCTCTTTAGCCCCTTGAGTGTGGCTCTTCCACAAAATACCGCGGCACGGACCAGTCTATTTTGAAAAAGTGGCATTAGAAGAAGTTTAAGTTTAAAAATGTTGGCTCTCTCAAAAGAAATGTCAGCCAAAACCGGTTTGGCTCAGTGGTAGAGCGTCGATCTGCGGACTGAAAAGTCCCAGGTTCGATTCTGGTCAGGGGCATGTATGTTGGTTGCGGGCATATCCCCAGTAGGGGGTGTGCAAGAGGCAGCTGGTCGGTGTTTCTCTCTCATCGACGTTTCTAGCTCTCTATCTCTCTCCCTTCCTCTCTGTAAAAAAATCAATAAAAATATATGGGGGGAAAAAAGAAATTTCAATAATTGTACTGTTGATATTGGCTCTGTTGACTAATGAGTTTGCTGACCACTTCCTTAGAGAATACCTCAATCATTGCAAACAGACTGTTTGTAGAAATATGGACATAGCAGGTGCTGTGAGTGAGGGTTCAGAAAGAAATAAGCAACACATTATTGAAAACTATAGGAAAGGTTTTCCTTACCTGGAGTGGCAGAAATCTTACAGAATGTCTTTTGCAGCTACATGGAAGGCAAAACTTATAAATTATGAAATATAATATTTAGCTGAAGAGATTTCCAAGCAAAGGGATGGAGAAACAGCCCGGTTTCTTTTTACTGCTTACAGTAAATGCAAAAAGAAGGAGATAAATTGAGAGAAAAATGATTAAACAAAAAGGAACCAAGAGGTGATGATTTGGGAAATTCTCGGCCTATCCAGATTGCAAAAGATGCTAAAATTAAGAGATACACTGTCAGGGATGTACTATCTGAAGAACAAGCTGAGGGTGTGGCTGTGACAATTTTCTGCCAATACTTCAGAAGGATCAGAAGGTCACAACACTCAGTCACACAAGGAGCTCTTTGAAGAGATAAAGAGCGTGACTCTCAGATCCCCTCCATTCCAGGAAACATCTAGAAAGTTTAAGGGTGTTGTCCCTCAGATTATCTCAGCAAACGCCAAAAATAGAGAACTAACTATCTAAGAAATAGCTGTGGAAGTCCCTTATGCAGTGCAGCCCATCTCCATGGCATACATGGGAAGTCCACAAGGTTCTTGGAAATTTTACGCTACAAGAAACACTGCCTGTTTAGATTAAAAGGGATAAAGTATGAAATGAGAGGAGGCTATGGGATCCCTAAGATTCTACTGGTAGGAAACAAGCTGATCAGCCTACTCAGCTGCAAACTCCTGCCATATGTCGTGCAAAGGGAAAGATGATTCAAAAGCTGGAAGCTCGGAGCCTGAAAGGAGCTGCAAATCACAGAGGATTCTTCATGGGCATTGAATCCTAACAAAGTTTACCCAGCTGGATTTAGACATTGTTGGGACCAGCACTCCTCCCTCCCCTCCAGCCCCCCAACTCCCTACCCACCCTCACCCTGCTTTAATTTTCTCTCTTTTTAAAAAATGGAATGTCTATAAGTGGTATCCTATGCCTGGCCTACCATTGTATTTCAGGGACAGATATCATGTTTCTTTACTTTTACAGACTTGTAACTGGAAGAGAATTGTGCCCCAGGGTAGATGACACTGAGAGCTTCAACCATACCTGAATTCAATCGTTGAGATAATGGCATTTGGGACTTTTGAGCTGATGAGGCTTAGATGAGATTTTTAGACACTTTGTTTATATGCTAATGAGTGATACTTTTGAGGAACTTGGGTTCAGTGGATAAATTTCACATGTGGGCCCTACGCTGGTTTGGCTCAGTGGATAGAGTGTCAGCCTGCAGACTGAAGGGTACCAGGTTCAATTATGGTCAAGGGTACATGCCTAGGTTGCAGGCTTGATCCCCAGTGGGGGACATGTAGGAGGCAACCAATCAATGATTCTCTCTCATCATTGATGTTTCTTTCTCTTTCCCTCTCCCTTCCTCTCTGAAATCAATAAAGATATATTTTAATTTTTTTTCACATATGGGACAAATGTAAATCTTAGGGAATAAGAATGTTGACTGCATTAAATAGGATAATAAGCCCCCAATGATGTCCATATTCTAGTTCCCAGAATTTATAAATAGGTTATCTTATATGAAAAAAAAGGATTTTTCAGATGTAATTAAGGGTAAGGAAATTGAAGTAAGCAGATTCTTGTTCAGATAGGCTCAATCTAAACATATGTGCCTTTATAAGCATAAAACCTCTTCCAGTTCTTCTTTTGGCACAGAACCAGAGACATGTTTGTGTGAGAACTTGACCCACCATGGATGGCTTTGAAGATGGAAGCTAAGAATTTTGGTGGTCTCTAGAAACTGAAAAAGGCAAGGAAAAGACTCTCCTCCTAGGATTTTTAGGAAGAAGTAACAGTCCTACTAGTACCCAGTGATTTGGTTAGATTTCTAGCCCAGTGAAACCTGTCGAAGATGTCTGACCTATCCTATATAATAAAAACCTAATATGTTAAGTGTCTAGTCATCCAGTGACTGGTTGATTATTCAACCAATCAAAGCATAATATGCTAATGATATGCTAAGGCTGCTCAACCACTCACTATGGCATGCACTGACCACCAGGGGACAGATGCTCTGACTGGTAGAGTTAGCTTGCTGTTGGGGTCCAGCAGATCAGGACTGAGTGAGAGGGGCCAGACATGCCCTAGAGCCCTTCTGTGGTCCCTTCTTGCCCCAGTTGTGCACTGATAGGATCTCTTGGCCTAGCCTGAACCCTCTTGCAATCCAAGACCCATTGGGGGATGTCGGAGAGCTGGTTTTGGCCCGATCACACAGGGCATTCCCCTTGGGAGGGCACCAGGTGCAGGGTTCATGGCTGGTGTGAGCCTCTACAGTGGTGTGAGCCTCTCCCAAACGGGACTGATTGGGCACTAGCTTGTGGCAGGTGCAGTGGGGCCAGGATGAGCCAGGGCAGCAGGTAAGAGCTGTAGGTGGCATTGGACTGCGGGTTTCGGCTCCATCCCCACAGGCCACCCCAAGGAACCCCATGCATGAATTGGTACACCGGGCCTCTAGTAGAACCATCATGAACGTGCAGAGCAAGGTTTGCTTATCTTTAAAAAGATAGCTATAAGTATATATACATATATCCTGGGTTACAAATTTAAGTATTCCTCATTTTAAAGTTTGAAAAACACTGGTAATGATGGCTTTGAATGTGTTTATCTTCTTCCCTACATTTCCAGTTATACATCCCAAATGTGCCTTATATTATAAGGCACTATACTATAGTTACTAAAAGAATGTT